CCCGTATGGTCCCCCCAAAGTGCTCAGGGATCACTGCTGGCAGGACCTGGGATTGACCCTGGGTTGGCTATGTGTAAGGCAACTGCCCTAACTGCTATACTATCTCTCCAGCCCCGTATCATCAACTTAATTGCAGTGTTGAGTCTAGGTGTAGTGGAGAGGTTTTCCCACTACAGGTACTTTAACTATTAGCACTGTAGTACTGTCCTCCGTTGTTCATCGATTTGCTGGAGCAGGCACCAGTAACGTTACAGCACGTTATGTTTCATGAGACTTGTTACTGTTTTTGGCATATTGAATATGCCACGGGGAGCTTGCCAGGCTCTGCCGTGCAGGCAGGATACTCTCGGTAGCTTACCAGGCTCTCCAAGACAGATGGAAGAATCAAACCCGGATCATCTGCGTGCAAGGCAGACACCCTGCCTGCTGTGCTATCTTTCAATTTTTTTTTTTTTTTTTGCTTTTGGGGTCACACCCGGCGATCCTCAGGAATTATTCCTGGCTCTGTGCTTAAGAATTATTCCTGGTAGGGCTGGAGTGAAGCACAGTGGGCAGGGCATTTGCCCAGTGGCTAATCTGGGTTCGATTCCCAGCATCCCATATAGTCCCCCGAGCACCACCAGGAGTAATTCCTGAATGCAAAGCCAGGAGTAATCCCTATGCATTGCTGGGTGTGACCCAAAAAGCAGAAAAAATTATTCCTGTGGTGCGTGGGGGACCATATGGGATGCCAGGGAAAGAACCCAGGTCAGTCACATACAAGGCAAATGTTCTACCCTCTATACTATTGCTTTGGCCCCCTATCACTACCTTAGTGCCTAGCTGCTGTTGATTCCTTTCAAAATTGTTTTTCTTTCTGAGTCACACCTGGTGATGCATAGTGGTTACTCCTGGCTTTGCACTCAGGAATTACTCCTGGCGGTGCTCGGGGGACCATATGCAGTACTGGGGATCCAACCCAAGTCAATTGCATGCAAAGCAAATACTTTTACCCACTGCACTATTTATCTGGCATCCAAGAGCCTAGCTTCTTAAACTGGGGGTTGCGACCTCAAATAGGGTCTTTTCTAATCTTTATTTTAAAATAAATTTCATTGACTCTAAGTGATTTGTAGACCTGTTGTATCACGATCACCCTGTTGTTCGTTGATTGCCTCGAGCAGGACTCAGTAACGTCTCCTTCGTCCTAGCCCTGAGATTTTAAAAAGTGCCATATTCAAGGCTCTTACAGGGTTAGGAGAATGAGACCCAACATTGTTACTGGTATTTGGCATATTGGGTATGCCACGGGGAGTTTGCCAGACTCTGCCATGTGGGCAGGTTACATTTGGTAGCCTGCCAGGTTGTCCAAAGTAAGAATGAGATAATAAGATGTGAGCGCAGCCACAAATGCGGCTGTGCACTTCGGAGAGCTGGGTTTTATAGTCTCTGGGTCTTGGCTGTTGATGGGATTACAGGGTGCTGGGGGCGGGGGGGAAGGGCAGTTGGTGGGTGTGACCCCTGCCTACTGGAAGATGGAGGATCTGGGTGGAGGATGCTCAGCCCCGATCCGAGTAGGCTTGGAGATATCAGCCCCGGGACCCGCGTGCCTTTGTTCCTCTGCCGGTACCTTTATGCGTGTGGAGAGTGGTCTCAGCATGGTTGTGGCTGGTTCTGGAGGTCTTCGGCTGCCGGAGCTCTGCCTGGGGCGGGGAGGGAAACTTATCCCGCCCCCCTCCAAGAGGCCCCGGCGAGGACAGCCAGGCGCGGGGGCAGGAGATTCTGTGCTATACCTGTTTGTTATATGCCTGTATATCTGGGGTCACAAATCTTTCAAGCGAGGGGGCTACAGGGATAGTACATGGCTAGGGCACTTGTCTTGCACATGGCCAGCCCAGTTTCAATCCCTGTTACTCCATTTGGTCCCTTGAATCCCACTAGGCCTGATCCCTAAGAGCAAAGCCTGGAGTAAGTCCTGAGTACTATTGGACGCAGTGAAAAAAAAAATCCAAAAAATCCCAAACAAAAGGATAGTGAGTTGAAAATGTTTAAGCTCTATAGTGCCAAAGGCCTGTAATGGAGACTAAAATGGCAGACTGCTTGGTCTCCTTCACCATTTTGGCTTCTTGGTGGCATGTTATTCACCGAGTCTCCTATTACAATGATTCTCCAGGCCATTTCTGTCCCTTCACCACCACGGCTGCTGGATACCCAATACCTCATGCACCTCACATCCCTCTTCAAAAACCTGTGTATTCTGATATCTTAGTTCTACATGTACCATTTTATTTAATCTTTATTCTTTTGTTTTGGGAACCATGCCTAGTGGTCCTTGTGAGTTGCTCCAAGCAGTGCTTGGGGGAACCATGTGGACCCAGGATCCTACTTGGGGCTCCAACATGCAAACCATGTGCTCCTGCCCTTTCTCCTATCTTCTGGGCTCTAGAGGTAACATTTTACTTCTGTGCCACATTTGTGTATCACTGTAACAGGAACAAGATATATCAGGGCTCAGTGAGTAGAGGCTGTGTCTCTGCACTGAGCACTTACCTTTCATCTTGTAGGCATAAAGAACAAGGGTAGAACAACACCGTTTTCTCTTGTTTCTTCCAAGACTTATTGTCTGTTTAGGCATTCAAACATTTGTTGTTGAGTGTTTCCTGTGTGTGGAGGCAGCATTAAAAACATCAATGTTAAAAAATCACTGCTAGGGTTGTGGGGGCTGGAGAAAAAGTACAGCAGGTGAGGTGCTTGCCTTGTGGTTGACATGCAATTGATCCCTGACACCCTATACAGTCCCCGGAGACTTTGGAAGAAGAGATAAGGCATGTGGTTAAGAGTGATCCCTGAGTGTAGTCAGGAGTAAGCCTCAGCACCGCTGGGTATGGCTCTAAAACAAAAGTCTGCAGGGCCAAAGATGTGGCTCAATGGTAGTGTGCTGCCATGTATAAGGCCCTCTTTGATCCCCAGCACTGTCAAAACACCCAGTCCCAGGGTGATGAGAAGCATGGGGTGGGGGTGTGTCCCAGGATAGACAAAATACATAGTTGGTTGACATTATTCACAATGGCCAGATCTGGAGATCTGGAATGATGGGGTTACAAGTAGTTATTTAAAAATATGGTTGCCAGGAGTTGGAGAGATAATACAATGGGTAGGGTGCCTGCCTTCCATGTGGCCAAACTGGGTTTGATCTCCAGCATCCCATATGGTCCCCAAGCACCGCCAGGAGTAATTCCTGAGTGCAGAGTCAAGAGTATCTCCTGAGCATTACCAGGTGTGGCCCACAAACAAACAATAAAATAGGGTTCCCAGGGCTGGACAGATAGTACAAGGATTAAGGCACTTGCCTTGCATGTGGCTGACCCAGGTTCCATCCCTGGCACCATATATGGTCCCAAGTATTACCTGGGAATGATCCCTGAGGATAGTGACAGGAGTTAAGTCCTGAGGTCAGCCGGATTTGGTCCAAAAATCAAAAATAAAAGATTAGCCACAGAAGGCTTCATGAAGGTGATACTGAAGCATGGACTTTGGAAGAAGTGAAGAGATAGGCATGTGGTTATCTGGAGGAAGAACACTCAGGTAAAGGGAACAGCAAGTACAAAGTTCATGAGGTTGGATTGTTCTTGTTTTATTAAGGAACAGCTAGAAGACTAGTTTGGCTGCAGTGTATTAGAAAAAGAAGTACAGGAGATGAGCTCAGAGAAGTGACGGGCATAATCTTTTTATCTATAGTGTGCCTTTTTGTCTTTGTCCAACATCCCCACAACACCGTGCTGATAGTTCTGTAGATTATTTTCCTAGTATGAGAAACTGAAACTGTATGAGAAAGACTGCTATAAAGAGAAGTTCAGAACAAGCAGAGAAGTCGACTTTGGACTGGGATGCAATATAATTAGAAAATTCCAGGCGGACTGTTGAAGGATACCACCATTTAAACTGGGCTTGGTGATACTGTGGGAGTTCTCCAGGTGGAGAGAGGGGTGAGGGACTTATAAACAGGCACCCAGTAAATCCGTGAAAACCACAAAGCTGGAGGAGCCACGGATACGGTTCTGGCAGTAGCTGAGAAAGTGCAGGAAAAACCAATTCCAGGGGAAACGCCAATATAGCTGAGGTCCCCTCCCACCCCAAAGTCCCAAGCTTGCGCAGTAAGGGACTCACCCCTCTAAAAGATCCGCCTTTTCGGTCTCTACCTAGGCTCCACCCCAAGAACTTTGCTGAGGGTGGTGGGAGGTGCTTAGGGAGGAACGAAAATAGATTGAACGTTCTTTTGACCAATCACCTTGTCGGATATTCAATTTATGATGAGAGTGGAAAGCAGAACAAAAGAAGGACCCGGACCTCGTCGGTGAAAACCAATGAAAACAGGGAAAAGGCGTGGGGTAGGAGGGATAGGTCAGCAAAATCACGCCTCCTTCTATCCAGACACGCCCTTCATTCTTGATATGCCTCACCCCAGGGAGCAAATCCGATTGGCTGGGCAAAACCCTTAAAGGGCGGGACCCGCTCTACGTTCACTGGGGCAGTGAGTTAAGAGGCGGAGGGAGGGGGGGCCCAGCAGGGCGGGACCAGGCTCTGTCTTATCTAAGGTGTTTAAGGCCAATGATTCTCCCGGTCGCCTCGCTTAGAAAAGTCATCTTCTGGCGAATCTTTAAGATTTCAACTTGCCGAAGCACATCAAGGGACTAGAACTGACTGCATCATCTTTTTTCTCCTCGCAAAAGTCTCCTTTGCCATCATGGGGATGTACCAAGTGAGGTCGATTCAGGGGTGCAAGTGGTGACTGACACACTAGTCGCTAGCTGCTGCCCACTCTGGTTCTAACAAATTGCTAGCAAGACCGGAACTGAGTAACAAGCCCCCTTGAATTCTCCTCCTGGCGCCATTCCAGGGCCTGCGCCACACTCCACAGTGGGCGCGCAATGGCCGTCTCACCTCCCGCTACAAACGAGTCTATTGGTACATCTACTACGAGGTGAGTCCCCTCCTTCTCACTTTACCCGTCCAGCGCGTGCGTGCGCATGCGCGGAGCGCGGCGCGCTCGGTGGTTGGGCCGATTGCTGTTCGGCCCTGGGATCCGCGGCATCTTCGGGCGCCTTCGGCTTTGACCTGCGCGCCGCCTTGAGCTCTCGGATTCGAGCGGGCGCAAAGGAGCCTGGGGGCATTGCCCGCAGCGGCCTAGCTAATGGCCGGCTGAGCGGGACGCCGCCTCCGCCTCAGCCACCGCCGCCGCCGCCGCCGCCGCCTCCTCCTCAGCCGGCGGCGGCCCGGGCCCAGCAGCCATGGCTGAAGACTACTGGGACGGGCGCCTGCGGCGAACCGGAGGAGAGGGAGGTCGTGCGGCCACAGCCCAGGCCGCCGCCCCAGGCGCCGCCGCGCCGGCCCCGCGGCTCTGAGCTTGCTCGCGTGCCCCCGCCGGTGAGCGCGTCCCCGAGAGTGGTGGGGTGGGGGCTTCCCTTCCTTCTGACGAACCACCCCACACCCCCAGCGAGGTGCACTGGGGTTGTGGCTGCACCGCTGGCATGTGCCCCCTCCCCCCGACGAACTTCCCGGAATGCACCGGGCGTGGGTCATTTGGGGCCTTCCTGACCTTGGCCCCACCCTGGGCCGGGACTAGGAGCTGGGGATGGGCGAACTGTGTGTGCTAATGGGGAGCAGGGTGGTCGAAGGACCGGGAGGTGTGGAAATGGTTGCCAGTCTGGTGTAAGGCTCGAGGTTTTCTAGTGAGGGACAGACAGAGCTGCGGTGGGGTTGGAGCATGTGATACAGTCGTAACGCTGTGTAAGGGTTGCGGCCTAGTGCACGTCGATGAGTTTGGGGTGCAGGGCGGTGGAGGGGCCCAAGGGTGGATAGCAGGGGGTGGAATGGCAGAGCCGTGCTGACATGCAAATGGAGGAATAGCTGGTGGAGAGATTCCTTGTGACTCATCGCTGGGCTAGGGGGCCCAGAAGTCATGTGCGTGGGAAAGAGGGTGGCACTGGCATTGATGCTGAGTTTTTATCCCTGGTGGCACTGAGTGTGGCGGAAGAACTCCAGAGTTGACAGTGTACTAATAGCCACAGCTGCGTGTGGAAATGGAAGTCTGACAAGGCCAAGGCCAGAGTATGCTAATAGGGCCAAGGGGTGCTAAAGGGGATCAGAGTTGTGGTATATGTGCCCCCTGGGTGGGGACAGCCAGGAGGAAAGTGTCTTAGTAGTGTCATAGTTTAGTGTTGTAGTAAGGATGAAGAAGTTGGACAGGAAAAATGGCTCAAAGATGTCTGCAGCATAGGCTTAATCCCCACATGACCCTGCTTCTCTAGAACCTCCAGATGTTTTGCACACACACCCATGTATAGTTCTGGCCATCATCACATATTTTTCTCCTGTCTCCTTGCCTCCTATCAGCTCAAGCTGGAACTTCACTTAACCCTGACCCCTACTAGCACACACTGTACTTCACAGAGCATTCCTCTATTAGGAATGCTAGAACAGCTGGCAAACAAACAGCATCCAGATGTGAGATCAATGTGTGATCATGAGGACAGGAGAGGAGACTGCAGAATGCTAAGAAAGGACTTAATAGATGACCTATGAAGTTTCAGTGACTGGTACTATGACTTAAGAGTCTTGGAGGTGCCTAAATTTGTGCCCCCCAGGAGCTGAAGTCTCGGATATGCTAATAGGTCTCAACATTAAGAAGACAGTTTGTGGGACTGGAGTGATAGCACAGCAGGTAGGGTGTTTGCCTTGCACGTGGCAGGCTCGGGTTCAATTCCCAGCATTCCATATGGTCCCCTGAGCACTGTCAGGGGTAACCCCTGTGCATCGCTGACTGTGACCCCCCCAAAAAAAGGAAAGAAAGAAGGAAAAAAAGAAGACAGTTTGTGAGTTTTCAGAGCAGTGGAAGAGGGATAGGGTTGTGGATGGGGATCTAGTGTGCAATGAGGAGAATTGAGTCTCCATGGGTAGAGACTGTCAGCAGAGTGGAAGCAAAGAGAAATAATGGACAGGACAGTGTGAAGGTCTAGGTGTGCTAAAGTGTATTAGAACCACGGAGTGATAGTACTGAAGTGTTTTCTAAGGGAGGACCAGGATATCTGAATATTTCTGTATACTAAATAGGGCCAAGCCATTATAGCACAGTGTGTCTGTCCTTGTTCATGTCCCCGAGAAACAGGGGTAAGAGTTCTGGGTGTTCTGAGAGGGAGGAACGCTCTGTGTGAGGTCCAGTGTGTGCTGTTGGGGTTCAGGGTGAAGTGATAGGCGTCAAGGATGGAGGAGAAAAATGTGTGTTGCTGATGGCCAGAGCTGCAGAGGGGTGTGAGAGTTTTTAAAAACGGGTCAGGGAGCTGTGTGGTTCCCTTTATTTTAATAGGATCCAGGGCAGTCTGAAGTCCGGTGAGTGCTAATGTGGGTCAGCTTTAAAGGGTCCCATGTGCATGCTAATAAGGGTCAGAAAAGTAGGGGAATAGGGTGTTAAGGGAGTGGGGTGGGAGAGTGCTGTGAATAAACTAATAGGAAGGTGGACCTCGGAATGACCCAAGAATGTGGTGGTAAGTTAACTTAGAAGAGGCAAATGTTTGCTAAGACTTAAATGCTGCTTTGGGTCTGTATATGCTGATGGGAGTTAGAGATCAATGGAGAAATGAATATGTGCTGATTGCAGGTAAGATGCAGGAAAGGGGGCCAGTAGGACAGTGGGTAAGACACTTGCCTTGTACAGGGCTGACCCGGGTTTGATCATCAGAACCTGTAGGATCCCCTAAGCCCTGCTTGGAGTGATCACTGACTGCAGAGCTAGGAGGAAACCCAGAAACTGCTGGGTTTGGCCCCAAAACAAATAAATAAAGGAATGCAGGGGCCAGAGCAATAGTACAGCGGATAGGGCATTTTCCTTGCACGTGGCCAACCCGGGTTCGATCCCCAGCATCCCACAAGGTTCCCCAAGCACTGCCAGGATTAATTCCTGAGTGCAGAGCCAGGAGTAACCTCTGAGTATTGCTGGGTGTGACACCAAAAATAATAAAGGAATGCAGGAAAGTCTTCACAGAGGCACAGAACAAAGTAGCACTTTGTGAGTCTGTGAACATCCAGAGATCAGCGCAGGATCAGCACAGGATGAGGATAGTATGTTCCTGTGGGGATCCGTAGTATGCGATGATTGTGTCTTCATGGTCGTTGTGGTGGGAGGTGAGGGTATTCTGATGATGGTTGTGTGCTTGGAGGTTGGCAGTGGAATTGTATACTGTTCTTGCTCCATTTTTACTATTCTGAAATGTAGAAAGAAAGCCCGGAAAACATAAGTGATGATAACTTGTTTGGCTTTGTGTTAATAATGTTTATGTGTTTTGTGTATTCATAGGGTCCTCAGGGCTTCCCTTATGGGGGTGTTGATGTGTAGATTTTGTACCTCATCTTTCTAAAACACACTCAACTGAACTCTGGAACATGTGTGGTCCTTGGGGTTTCCAGTTAGATGTCATGGACTCATGACTCCTGGCTTACTCCTCATTCTCTATCCAGTGCTACTTACAGCGTCCCCCATATTCCGTTCTCCACTACAGTAGGCAGATGGCTGCATATCTGTGCCATACAGACACAGTCTGACTGGCCATGTTTCATCTTCCTCTGCCTTGCGTCCAATATTCAGTATCTTGGGTTAGGATGTTGTTGCTGGAAGAGATTCTCTCCTCTTTACTAGCATCTTGGCTAGGCAGAGAGAAGTGAAAAGAGGGTCCACTGGGGTAAGCTTCATTTTATGTGAACAAATGACCCACTTCTCTTCACAAATCCAGCCACAGCTTCATCCTCGACCTCCTATCTAGTGCAACTTCCCTTGGGCCCATGGCCATCTTAGGCCCTGCTGTGAGTCCAGATGGTTCCGGAACCAGGTCTTTTCCCCCTCATTGTTGGCCCAGTGCCCAGGAGGAAGTGAAAGATGGTTACCCTCAGCTTTTTGGTGGCCCTATTCCCTCTAGCCAGCCCCATTCTAGGTCTTGCCGATGCTAGCATCCAGGGTTGCACATCTCATCTGGGATTGTTTGTGAGTAAAAAGGAATCACCAGCTAGGCAGAAGTTGGTCCGAGGGCCCCAACCCCCTGCTGCATTAATTTCTGCCTGAAGCATGCTCAACATCTACTCTTGTCAGTTACTAATGCAGGGCTTCTGGATAGAGCTGTGACCTAAACAGGCAGGAATCTGCTTTGGCATTGCTGATCTCCTGGTTAACAGACAGGGCATAAAGAAGCAAATAAGTATCTGGTGTCATTTCTGAGGAGGTGATGAGTGTTGTCAAGGTGAGGGAGTGCTGGGAGTTAAAATTATGAATACTGTTCATGGTGGCCTTTTGCAGGTGGTATTGGAGCAGTGGTCTGAAGCGGGGGAGGGAGCAGGCTATTTTTTAAAAAAAATTTTATTAGTGAAACACCGTGAGATACAGTTGTAGACTTACAAATTTTTGTGCTTGGGTTTCAGTTATACAATTATCAAGTACCCATCCCTCCACTAGTGCCCATTTTCCACCACCACGGATCCCAGTATCCCTCCCAACCCCCCATCTCCCCCCTCTGTCCCACCCTGCCTCTGTGGCAGGGCATTCCCTTTTGTTCTCTCTCTCCTTTTGGTTGCTATGGTTTTCAAAAGAGGCATTTAGTGGCAGTCATGTTTGGTTTATAGTCTACTTTCAGTATGCTTCTCCCATCCTGGGAGGATCCTCCCAACACCTTTTATTTGGTGAGCAGGCTATTTTGAAATCTGGGGGAAGGGTTCTCCAGGGAAGTTGCCAGTATGAAGACCCTAAGGTGGGACTGCTGTCTTTGGTTGCACAATTGCAGCTAGAAATGAAGGGGGTGTGGTGAGGCCAGGAAGCTAGTAGGGATGAATGGGCTCAGACCTCCTGGACCATACAGAGAGTTGGAACACTTAACTGGGGTGATAAGGACATGGGTATGTTCTTAAATAGAAGAGAAATAATAGCCTGATTTGTATGAGTCTTGAGTGGCAGCTGATGAGTTCAGACTTGATTGACCTCTTCCAGCAGCCCTAGGGATAGCTAGTTGTCATTGAGGTCCCCTGTCAGCATCACACAGTGATTGGGTCTGTACCGGATTTCCCTGCCCCCCCCATACTTCCATCTAGATTGATCAGTGGTGTGGTCCACCGCTCACCATGACAATGGTTGCTGGGTGAGACAGGAAGATGCTTGTGGCCAATAAGAACATTCTACCCTGGTAGTTGGGCGCGATGTGGGGCTGGTGCCAGTGGAACATGCCACTCTGTGGGCGTACCCAGGGCCTTATCAATCTTCCTGCTGTCTTGGGTGAGGCCCACACTTCATCCATAGGTGGATACAACACTGCTACTAGACCAGAAAATACTTGTTGTAGATTGCTGTGTGCCCCTACTGACACTATCCTGTTAATGGCCAGCTGTCCGGCAGCAAGATCCTTGTCTTCAGCCAGCTACCCAAGCCTTCCTTCCCAGGTTTGCTATTTAGGAGCCAGGTTTCCCCATCCAGGCCAGATTTCTAGGAACCCCAAGACGTTTCAGGTTGTCACAGTGTTTGGGTGGGCACTGACACAAGTCCACGTCAGTGTGTCCTCTCTCTGGATTGTCACAGGTTGAGGGGCTGTGGTAGGACTCACTTGTCATCCATACTCCCGCTCAGGTCGCCATGGATCGGATGAAGAAGATCAAACGGCAGCTGTCAATGACACTCCGAGGTGGTCGAGGTGTAGAAAAGACCAATGGTGCCCCTGAGCAGATAGGCCTGGATGAGAGTGGCGGCGGCGGCAATAACCTTGGAGAGGCGCCCACACGAGCTGCCCCTGGGGAACCTCGCTCAGGTCGAGGCCCACTCAGCTCTGCACCTGGTGGGTCCACTGGCTACTCCTATGCCTAGACTGCTTCCTGGATAGTACTTCTCAGTTCATTTCCTCTCAGATTTGTGTTATGTTCACTTCCCTGGATCTGTTTTCTCCCCTTTTCTGGCCCCTGTATGCTTTTTGTTCCCCCTCCTCCCTGTCATTCTCTCTCAGTACCCACTTGGTCCATCTCTGCCTTTTTCTTTCTTTCTTTCTTTTTGGACTTTTGGCCACACCTGGCGATGCTCAGGGGTTACTCCTGGCTCTGCACTCAGGGATCACTCCTGGCGGGCTCGGGGGACCATATGTGGTGCCAGGGATCTACCCCGGGTCTGCCGTGTGCAAGGCAAGTGCCCTACTCCCTGTACTATTCTCTGGCCCCATTATTTGTGCCCTTTTCCCTGGGTTTTGTGTTCCAGCCTCAAGGGGAAAAGGGTGCCCTGACTGCCCACTGCAGCACCCCAAGCTTCCTGCTGCCCTTCTGCACTCTGCAATGACTTCCTCAGGCTTTCTGGTGCTTTCCCCAAAACAGCACTTTGGGACTAACTTGTCATAGACTCCCCAGGGAGGAAGGGAGGTGCTCCAAGCTGCTCCCTCTGCAGTAGTTGCGAAAATGAGTGTGAGGTGGGGACAGGCTGCCTGGGGCTCCCGACTCCACCTAATCTCTCTACTTCCCCTTCCCCCCTTGCCAGAGATTGTCCATGAGGACTTGAAGATCGGGTCTGATGGTGAAAGTGATCAGGCCTCGGCCACATCCTCAGATGAGGTGCAGTCACCAGTAAGGGTGCGCATGCGCAACCATCCCCCACGCAAGATCTCCACTGAGGTGTGTGTCCCCACATGGAAAGATGGTGTGGCTGGCAAAAGGGTTGAACCTGGGAAGGTGGAATTCATTACCTTGTTTCTGCCCCATCTTTGCCTGACAGGACATCAATAAGCGCCTGTCATTACCAGCTGACATCCGGCTGCCTGAGGGCTACCTTGAGAAGCTGACCCTCAATAGTCCCATCTTCGATAAGCCTCTCAGTCGCCGCCTCCGCCGTGTCAGTCTGGTGAGCAAAGTTTGTTTCTGTCCTTTCTCTCTCTTTTCTTTTCTTGCCTCCATTCCCCTACCCCATCCCTTTGCCCCCACCCCGCTACCTCCCCACCAGCGTGCTTCAACTTGCTTCCTTTACCCCACAGTCTGAGATAGGCTTTGGTAAATTGGAGACTTACATCAAGCTGGACAAGCTGGGCGAGGTGAGGGGCAGCTGGGAGGCCCGTGGTGGGAGGGGGTGGGGTACGGGGAATTCCCTGCAGCCCCAAGCTCCTCCTTGGTCCCTCTTCCACTCTATTCAGGGTACATATGCCACTGTCTACAAAGGCAAAAGTAAGCTCACAGACAACCTTGTGGCACTCAAGGAGATCAGACTGGAACACGAAGAGGGAGCACCCTGCACCGCCATTCGGGAAGGTACTGACCCCTCTGTATCTTCCCTTGGGGTTCTGGGCCTTCCTCCTGCCATTCTGGTCTTTGTGAGAAAATGCCTCTCACCAACATGTCTGGTTCAGGAATCCTTTTCTGTTTGGAGAAGAGGCAAGTGGCCTGGAAATCAAGGCTCTCGCATTGGTTCCAAGAGACCTCTGAAAGTGCCTACCAATTTACTTGGCAATTTTTAGTCAGAATGCCACATGGAAATAATTCGAATTGAATAGAAATTGAGTGTGCAAAACTATTTTCACACAAAGCCACACAACCCAAGTACTGAGGGTTGGATGGAGCAAGGTCCCTTTCCAGAGACTGGGTTGTGAAATCTAGTCTCATATTAAACCTGAGGCCCTAATCCCTACTTGTTTTGCCATATTCTTTTCTGAGTCTTAATTGCTGTTTCTGCAACATGAGGATACATCTTCCTGGCCTTAAGTGGGTTAGAACTGGCACCTGTCAGCTACCATCCCAAACTGCATGGGATCAAGAGGGACACCCTGGGCTTGTCCCTGACTGATCCCCATCCTCTAACGGTGGTGAGGTCCTGACTCCCCTTCCCCACCTCTATGCTTTCTGCAGTGTCACTGCTCAAGGACCTCAAACATGCCAACATCGTCACACTTCATGACATTATCCACACAGAGAAGTCCCTCACTCTTGTCTTTGAGTACTTGGTAAGGTTGGGTGCCATGAGTCCTAGGTGGAGGTTGGGGAGATGACCAAGAGGCACAGAGGGTACATTCTTTCCTTTGCTGCCTCATCTTTCCTCAGGACAAGGACCTGAAGCAGTACCTGGATGACTGTGGAAATGTCATCAACATGCACAACGTGAAAGTGGGTGCAGGGGGGACCTGTTAACCCCCTCTACTCTGCCAATGGCCCAGAAACTGACCTTTCGTATTTGGCTTTTTTTTTCTGGTTGGGATACCTTGGAAAAAAGAGACCTTGTCTTCTCTTGTGTGACAAAGCTCTGGGCTCAGTGTCTTGGGGGGGGCAGTATCTGCTTGGGGGTCATTCTACTGGATACTCTTTGACCTCTGCCTGCTGTTCCTGGCTTCCCAGCTGTTCCTGTTCCAGCTGCTCCGTGGCCTGGCCTATTGTCACCGGCAGAAGGTGCTACACCGAGACCTCAAGCCCCAGAATCTGCTCATCAATGAGAGAGGAGAACTCAAACTGGCTGACTTTGGTACCCCAGCCTCCCATCGATCCCCCAGTCTTGCCCACCTCCCAGCTGCCTCTTTGGTCTCTGTCCCCCTCACCATGTATGGGCTGTGCTTAGGACACCCTCTGCCTCAGCTTCCCTCTCCCCCAGACTGCCCAGGACCTCCTCAATTTCAGGTACCCTTTCTCTCCATCTACTAGGCCTGGCCCGGGCCAAGTCCATTCCAACCAAGACTTATTCCAATGAGGTGGTGACACTGTGGTACCGACCCCCGGACATCCTACTTGGGTCTACCGACTACTCAACCCAGATTGACATGTGGTGAGGACAGGTGGAAGTGTAGCTGGAGACAGGTGGTACCAGGGTGGGTTGGTGATAGTGTCCAGCCAGTCTCACTTGCCTGCCTGTTTACTGTGTCTTCCCTCCCCAGGGGTGTGGGCTGCATCTTTTACGAGATGGCTACAGGCCGGCCCCTCTTCCCAGGCTCCACAGTGGAAGAACAGCTGCATTTCATCTTCCGCATCTTGGGTGAGTACGCGAGGACACCCCTGAACCTCAGTAGCTGAGAAGGTTGGCAGGGAAGCCCCGTGAGGTGCTTAAGGTAACTCCCTCTCCCCTCTCAGGAACCCCCACTGAAGAGACGTGGCCAGGCATCCTGTCCAATGAAGAATTCAAGACCTACAACTACCCCAAATACCGACCTGAGGCCCTTTTGAGCCATGCACCTCGGTGAGGCTGGGGGGTGGGGGAGGGTGGGCGAGCATCAGAGGCCCAACCACAGTATCAAGCAGCACCTTGTTTTTGCCATAGACTTGACAGTGATGGGGCTGACCTCCTCAATAAGCTGCTGCAGGTGAGACCACCTTTCTCAACCGGTCTTGGGGCTTTAGGAGATTCCTGTTGAGGGGAAACAAGGAAATCCTGGGATAGGATTTGGGGTGGGAGGAAGCAGGGACCTCTCAGTTGAAGATGGCAATATTCCTCTCCCATGCATACACCCAGTTTGAAGGACGCAATCGGATCTCCGCAGAGGACGCCATGAAACATCCGTTCTTCCTCAGTCTGGGCGAACGGATACATAAACTTCCTGACAGTGAGTGGAGCTGGTGATGCACAGTTAGTTGGGGTCTGTGGGAAGCAGGATGGCTCTGGACAATTGGGAAGCTTGTATAGGGCTCTGGCTGGGCCACCGTGAAGGGGGGTGTGGGGCATGCCCTTTGATGATATAATAAGAAAGTGATTCTTGGAGAAATTGGAATGTGCGAAAGTTTGGGTCCAGTCCAGCACCCATTAGCCCTCCCTGAGCACTGCCGGGTGTGATGTCCCCCCCCCCATGATGAAAAAGCTGGTATTTTTGTTTTTACATCATTTTTCTCCTTCAAACACTGATAAGCAGTGTCAGCCTTTGTTTCTGTTTGTATTTCTTCTTTATAGGTGCCATACCTAGCAGTGGGGGGTGAGGGGTGGTGATAATTGGCCTAGTGGTGCAGCCTAACAGAGGTTCAGTACTTGGGTGTGCAGCTCTGCAGTGCTCATGGTGCTTAGGGTAGGGACATGCCATGCCTGAGATCCATTCAGCCCTGGGTTTTGCACGTGCCAGACATGTGTTCCATCATTTTGAGCTAGATCCTTGGCCCCACTAAGACATATTTTGGTTTGGGAACCACACCTGGCAGTGCTCAGGGATTATTCCTGCCTCTGCTCAAGAATCACTATGAGATGCCTGGGATCGAACCCGGGTAAGCCGCATAAAAAGTAAATTCCCTCCCTGCTGTACTATGAGCAATACTAGGAGCTCCAGCCCCTAAAGTGAACATTTCTTTGCAAACGTGAAAAATATGCAGATCATCAGTATATAATTTTCACAAATTATACATGCCCATGTAACTGGCATTAGATTAAGAAACAAGGTGTGAGATACTCTGCACAATGCCCTCTCATCTTTTGAGTTACTCCTGACACCCCCATCCCTAAGAGTTACTTTAGGTTTGACTTTATTTTTATTTTGGGGCTATATCTGGCATAGCTTAGGACTTCTGGCTCCGAGCTCAGAAAAGATTCCTGGTAGGGTTCAGGAGACCATATGGGGTGCTGGGGTTTGAACCCATGTTGGCTGCATGCAAGGCAAGCACCTTGCCTTCTGTACTACCACTCTTGCCTCTATTACTTCTGACAGCATAAGTAAAATTTCTTTTGTACTCTGTAGACATGTAATCACATTGGATGTTCTCTTTGCATAGCTGACTTTAAGAATTTTTTTCTGTTTTGGGACCACACCTGGATGTGCTCAGGGCTTACTCCTGGCTCTGTACCCAAGGATTACTCTTAGGGATGGTTAGAGGACCATATGGGATGCTGGGGATTGAACCCAGTAGCATCTCTCCAGTCCCCTTTAAATTTTTTGGTAGTATACTTAATATTGTATTACAGATCAGAATAATAAGTTTTCAATTACCAGGGATGGAGCTATAGTAGAGTGGAGAGGGCATTTGTACGGGCATGACCCAGGTTTGATCCCTGGCATCGCAGATGGTTTCCCGAGCACTGCTAGGAGTAATTCCTGAATACAGAGCCAGGAGTGACCCCTGAGCATTGCCAGATGTGGCACCAAAATAAGGGGAAAAAGAGTTCTCGATTACAACAGAAGGTCAACAACTCTTGACCGATTTGGTTTTCAAATGTATTGCTCCTAATTATTTTGAATTAAATCCCAGATAGAGTGTTCATAATTTCAGCATGTATTGCTGGAATACTTTTAAGCATAACAAGAATATAGTTAAGCTACCTAAAACAAATTGGCATTTTCCTTATTCACTGAATTCATCAAATCCCCCACACCCTCCATCACCTAGATTTAGCTGGTGTCAGTTGGAAACTTATTATTACACTTGACAAAATTAATATTGATTTCTTAGTGTTAAGGTAAATGTAGTCCATTTTCCTTTTTCTTATTTGTAGCTGGTTTGCATTTGCAATTATTTTTGACAGTCCCTTTCTCCAAGGAAAGGGAACTCTACCTAATTCCCCTGATTGAATCATATGTGAGTTAGTCCAGATGGATTCCTTGTCTCATTCCCCATTCCATCTCTTCCCCCATCTACAGCTACTTCCATATTTGCACTAAAGGAGATCATGCTACAAAAGGAGGCCAGTCTTCGGTCTTCATCGATGCCTGATGCAGGTAGGTGTGTGGCCATTGCCCCTTTTCCTTGCCCTTTCCACCTGTGTGCTCGCCCACCAACAGCCATCTGCTCTGCTTTTCCCTGCAGGCAGGCCGGCTTTCCGCGTGGTGGACACCGAGTTCTAAGCCACAGACCCAGGCCCCAGCAGGCAGCAGCTGGAGGGATGCCACACCCCTCACAGGGCAGCCCCCAACTGCACCCTGCCTGCTTGTTGCCTACCTGCCTGCCTGACTCATGCTAGTCTGCCCACATGTACCCTGCTGCCTGTTTCAACACCTGATCATTGACCTGTCAACCCACCCATTGGCCTGTCTGCTGGGTGCTAACAAAGCTCTCATCGCTCCTCGCCTGGTCTGTCTGTGTTTCTCTCTGTCTTGGTAGTTGCTGGTGGACAGCATGGCCGTGCCAGCCTCCCACACTGAGGCCAGGCATGTATTCCTCATTGTTCGTCCCCCCAGGACCACTACCCCATGGCCAGCCAGGGGTCCAGAGCTAGTCCAGGCTGGGGATCTCGACTCAGACAAGATGTGGTGATGATGCCTCGGGTTTGAGGCTTTCCCCGCCTGCTTTCCTGCCTGCCCCACCTGCCTTGTGTTGTGTGGGCTTTTTGTTTGTTTTGTTTAATTCATTTATTTTTATTTTAAATGAGGTTTTCATTTTTTAAATGCAATATCTCTGTACACAGACCGACTGGGCCCCACTCCCCGCGTGTGGCCCTTCCACAGTATTTTGTGCAATGAAGCCCCGCTCCCAGCCTTTCCCAGGGAAAGGGACAGGGACATAGCCCCCATTTAGAACCCTGCCCATCACCAGACCCTGGGGGCAGCTAAGGGAAAGCATGCCTCAGCTACTCGCCTTCCACCTCGCCTCCACTCCCCAGCTGCGGGGGGACCTGGGGACTACTGGAGAGTCTCTGGGAAACAGATGAGGTGTGGGTCCCCCCACTCTTTCCCTCCTGCAGTCCCATATCGCTGGGATCTCCTTCCTTCTCAGGGTCTCCCTAGCCAGCCCTCCTGTCCCCCCATCCCACTCGGTGCTGTTGGGTAGGGGCCCTGCCAGGAACTGACCAACTCAGCAAGGAGCCAGTATACAAGCAGCGATAGGGATGTGTGCAGGTGTTGGGCCCAGGCATTATCCCCGTAGCCCTGGGGAGGATGAGGCAGGGCAGGGACAGTCTCTGGGGTCAGTGCCCAGATGGGTGGTTACCTCTCCTTCCTCCACTCTAAACCCTGGGGCCCTCAAATGGGATGGGATTACATGGGTGGGGTCCACGTGAGGTTTGGGGGGGTTGGGTTCCTGAATGCACCATAATCGCTGTATGAAATATTAAAAAAAAGTCTAAATGGAAACATTTGATTGCAAATCCCTGGAGGAAGTGGGGGAGGGCATAACACAGGGTGAAGACTGGACCTTTTCAGAATTCGTATCTGGCACCCATCTAGAAGAACACTGGGGAGCAGGCCTAGGAAATGTTTCTGATGGTGACAAAGCCATCTGAGTGCATATGCAACAAGGGCACAGTGAATAGAGAATGAATTCAGAATCAGTGATCTAACTCAGAGAAGTTATATTTACCCAAGAATATGAAGAAACCAGAGAGGAGGAGACAGGTATAGAGAGCCTGCTTCAAAGACACTTGGATGACCCAGTGTAACCAACCACACATTTTTTACTGGGACACTAAGAAGAACAGATGGATAGAACTGGAAGTTCATTGTTATCTACAAAGTATTCAAACCATGAGCTGGGTAAAGTGCTGAGGAATCTGCAGTGGTCTGTGACAGACCAGTGGTCAAATGGCATAGACTGGGGCTTGCTCTTGGGTGTCTAATCAAGGGTTTAGTTTACTTTATCTTGGGTGTTCCAGATCCTTTCTCACCATCTTGGATACAGCCCAGGGATTGGCTCATTGCAGGCAGGAGGGGTGGGTTTGGGAAAGGCCAGGCTGTAGTTGAACAGTTCTCATGTCAGACATAATGTGAATGTCACCTTGGGGACTCCAAACTTGAGTTTTGGTCCTATCTCCCCCTCAGTTTGCAAATTGAGTTGTAAACCCCCTTCATCTGTGTGAGGTCTGGGCCAGGGATAGAATTGTACTAACGATGAGGTTAATTGAAACTAAAATGGGCTGGAGAGTACAGGGGCTAAGGCACTTGCATTATACACAGGTGACTGTGGTTCAGTCCCTGGCGCTATGTAAGATCCCTTGAGCATGAGGAGAAGTGATCCCTGAGGGATGCTGGGTGTGGCCCCCAAAGTAGAGCTAAATTATGAGATTTTTTATGTTGGGGTTGGGGTGGATGGGGAAACCCACGCAGGGAGGGAACATTCTAGACATTTCCAGACTCGGGGACCTTTGTGTGCATGGGCCTAGAGGTGTGACAAGTTGTGTTCTTGCCTGTGAAATGGGGTAATGAAAGTGAATGCACTGTAGCACTGTCCTCCCATTGTTCATCGATTTGCTAGGGCGGGCACCAGTAACGTCTCCATTTTGAGACTTGTTACTGATTTTGGCATATCGAATATGCTATGGCGAGCTTGCGGGGCTCTGCCTCATGGGCAGGATACTCTCGTTAGCTTGCTGGGCTCTCTGAGAGGGGCAAAGGAATCGAACCTGGGTTGGTGTATGCAAGGCAGACGCCCTACCCTCTGTACTATCACTCCAGCCTTAAAGTGAATAAAGCCACTGAAACATTCAGTCCTGAACCTATATTGGGGAGCAAGGATCATGTGGGGTCAGCAAATATGCAAGTAGACCACAGGAAGTCAGAAAGAATTATTAAGTTATCAACAGGTAAGAGTGGGACACCTAGGAGAGAAAAATATGACATGGCCTATCACAGAAGTTATTGGGTTTTTTGTTTTTTTAGAGCGGGGAGGCCACACCTAACTCTTCATGGATTGTTCCTGGTTGTGCTTGGGGGATCCAGTGAGCCAGGAATTGAAACCAGGTTAGCCATGTACAATGCCTGTGCCTCACTGGCTGTACACTTTGGCTCTAGGGCAAAAGTTCTTGGACAATACCTCTTATCCCTCTTGGACAATACCTCTTATCCCAGGGGACATTTGGCAATGACTGGAGTTACTTGATTGTCTCAACAGTGTGGAGTGCTACTGGTATCTAGTGATTAGAGGCCAACGATACAGCTAAACACCCAATGATTTTGCACACAACAGAGAAGAGACCAATTGTGCCTAAGTAGAGACACATTGTCCTTATTAAATGGTTTTTAGGGGTTTTGGCCTCAGAATCCCTATTGTTAAAAATTGAGGCTATCTGGGACAGAGTGATAGTACAGTAGGTAGGGTATCTGCCTTGCATCCTGCAGACTTAGGTTCCATTCTCTGCAACCCATTTGTACCCCCAAGCCCCAGACCCACCAACACAGAGCCAGAAGTAAAACCTGAGCACTGAAGGGTATGGCCACCCCCTAAAAAAACAAAATTGAGGGCATTTCAAGACCCATGTCCGTGTAGTCCATCACACTTGTAAGAGCGAATAATCAAGTTGTAAAAATAGTTTTTAAATTTTAACCCCTGGAGGTCTGCTGAGCCTGCGTCAAAGTCTTGGGATCACAGTTTGAGAATCTCTGGCCTGGTGTTTAATAAAGTCACCCAGCTCTGGAACTGGGTGAAATTTCTGAGTCCAAACTAAAGCTCAGCTACTTACCAGCTGGAGCAAAATGAACCAATGCCTCAGTCTGTCCCGTTGCTGCCTACGGACAAGATATCTATCGCCTTAAGGGTGCTGTTGACTACAATAAAGCACATAAACAGGGATGATTGTTGCTTATTTTTATTAAGTTGCACTACACGTGGCCTGAGGCTGACCTCAATTTGCAGAGAAACTAGTTTGGGTAGGAAAGCTGCCCACAGGCCCTGGAGGTAGCACCCTCTTTTGTAATGAATTTTTACTGAGGGTACTGCAGTGAAGGAGGGGCTTACAAAAACTCCCAGAGCAGATGTCTGCATTTCCCACCAGTGCATCCGATCAGACCAAGAACTTTCGCTTGCTGAGCATACCTGCTTCTGCCTCCACCTTGTGCACACTGCCACTTGCCTTGACTCAACCCGGTGTCATACTCCCAAAAGACATTTGTGTCTTAGTTCCCAACCAGCCGGGATCAGTGCTCATGGATGGCTAACATCCGACGTATCTGAGCAGGGGAGCCGTTTCCAAGATGGCAGGAGCCCCCATCCCCCGCCCCCCGTTGAACTTGGCTGCAGAGCATGCCCGCTTCTGCCTCCACCTGTGCACACAGCCGCTTGCCTTGACTCAACCCGGTGGTACACTCCCAAAAGACGTTTGTGTCTTAGTTCCTAACTAGCCGGGATCGGCGCTCGTGGTCGGATGGCTGATATCCGACGCATCAGAGCAGGGGAACCGTTTCCAAAATGGCAGTAGGCCCCTCAGTTTGGGGGGCTCCGCTTCCGGTTCCGGGATCAGAGTCCGGAAGTGGCACTTGAGGGGGAGCTTCCCATCTCTCGTTGCGTTAGTTGAGAAGAGGCGAGCGACGATGGCGGAGGTCCCGGTCCTGGCTGCGGCAGTGGCCGAGGACTCGGAGGAAAAGGAGGAAGTCGTGCCCAGCCTGGCGAACCAGTGGGACGGTGTCGAGTCTCGCGGTAGTGGGCGACATCGTCCACTGAGGGTCGGCGAAAGCTGGTGAGGCAGGGCTGCGAGCGGAGCTTCAGCTGAGGGGGTCGGTGGGGGATCGTGGCTGCCGAGGTACGCCAGAGAACTGCCCAGGGGGGCGGGACGCGGCTCGCGGGACGGAGCCCTGAGGAGGTTCCAGCGGGCGGATCTCCCGATCCGGGGAAAGAGGCGGGGCCCCTGTTCTAGTGCTTAGTGCCTGAGTGAGTACAAGACGGGTTTGTTGTGGTGAAGCAGACGCGGGGCCTGGGAAGAAACAGTCACGGGCCTGCTCGGTGGAACTGGGAAGAACGCAGTCTCTGCCTCGCAGGCTGAGGGACCTGGTCTGCGTGGCGTACCGAAGCACCTGAGGTGGGGGCGGGGGTCGGCTAGCCGCTGCGCACCCCCGAACCGAGGCCAGTCCGGTGACGTCAGGCAGAAGAGCGCAGAGCTAGCCTGGGGGGCGGGCGGGGGGCGGGAGTCGGGGCCTGCGCGATACGCGGAGCTGGCGCCTGGGAACGAGGCTTGTGACGTAAGCCGGGGGCGTGTCCTGAGACCGTGGCAAGACTGCAAAGGGGAGGTGATGCCTGAGAAGCAGAAAATGGCGCCTGCGAATGAACAAAATTTGTGACGCGGCTAGGTTTTTGCCTCTGCCGGAGGTCTTCCCTGGACGGGAGGAACGTGCAGGTGATTGGCGAGGGAGGGATCCTCGGTGTGTTTTCTGTGTTCCTACCGTTTTGTAGAGGGCGGCGGGGGGCGGGAATCGCTGTTTTAAAAATGTCAACGCGTACCTGGATAAACCCGCTAGTTTTTCTTGCATTCTTTGCTTAACCAATGCTTGAACTGTATTATTTCTGGGTTCTATTCTATTCCTCGCCGACTTGCGTCTCTTATCTGAGATTGCGAGATGCGTAAGGTTTTAAAAGGTGATACAAAATGTTTGCGTAGCCCAGATTGATGGACATGCTATTAAAATAAATGGCCAGTGCGCTTCAAAATGTCAAGGTCGTGAAAGACAAAGGATGAAGAACTGTTCCAGATTGAAGGAATTAACGAGTCTTGATAACTAAATGCAACGTGTGATCCTGCATCGGATCCCGGAGCAGGAAAAATAAATTTTTTAAAGCCAGGTTTTATTTTTTTCTCATAAGATTAATAAAAGATGTTGATGGGAAATTGGTGAAATTTGAACAAGGGTGGGAGGCTATTGAAATGGTATTGCTGATTTCTTGCTTTTGCCCCTTGGCTAATGAAAGAGAATGCTTTGCCTTTCGTGTATAATCGAAATAATTTAGGGGTGAAGAAGCATCGTGTAAGCGGCTTGCTCTCAAGTGGTTGAAAAGATAGCGTATTTCAAAGTGTGTTTAAAGAAAATGCTTGAACAACTGGGTAACATGTTATATTTGGCGAGTCTGAATGAAGGGTCTATGGGAATGCTTTGTATTATTTTTCCTTTTTTCCCGCCGGAGTACTTATTTCAAAGTAAAAACTTCATGATGATAAACAAAACTTTGTGAATTCAGCACCCAGGTGAGGATTTATAACCATTACTTTTTAAAAAAAGCTCTCCTGCTACCCTCCCAGATGAAAAATCTCCTTTGCATCACAGGAAACGATCTGGAAATTTGAATTTCGTTAAACGGTTGCCTGCTACAGTATGCATCCCAGAGTGGTATTTGTAGTATTTTATTTTATGAAGATAAATATGAAATATTGCTATGATAACGTGTCATATCAATTGATGTGTAGTGTACACATGACGTCATTGTAGCCTTGGTAGTTGGTTTGAGGTGGTTTCTTGTGAAGGTACAATTTTTTAAAATCTCCCCTGTACATAGCAGTTTTTTAAAAAATGTAATTCATGCTCAACTATCACTCAAAAACCTTTTACCAACGTCCATGTCATGCAATGTAAATGCCAAGATTCTTCAGGTCCTGTTTGAGAGGCTCTTCCTTAGGAAGGAAGCTGTTCTCCCTCCCTCCCATTTTTTCTTCAATTACTTTCGTCGTCACTTTCTCCATCCGGCCATATTACACTTCTGCTGGTCCTCAGGTTTACTCATTTTTACAACGTTTGTAACATTACTAATGAAATACATGTCCCCATTACTGCAAAGGCAGGCAGATGTTCCTAGATTGGTTTTATTAATCCATGCAATATTTTTTTTCAAACCATCATTCTTTAGTTCTACAGCAAGGAAAAACCTCAACCTATTCTGAGCATAAACAATAACAGGTATGTAGTTATAAATCTTTGAGAGGGCAGTGGGTCCTTTCCTTCGCACCTTACCCCATTTTCACAGCCTTGTGACAATACTCTTTCTTAAATTACCCTTGGTGTGGTTTTCCTTTTGTCTTCTTAAAATTGTTTGGAAACTAGTGATTGCGGTTGCACAGCATTGTGAATATACTCAATGTCACTGAATTGTTCATTTTGAAATGGTTAATCTTATGTTAATGTGAATTTTAAAATTACGTTGTGTCAATAAAAAAATACCCCACCAGTGTTGATTCAGTATAGAAGCCAGTTTATCTCTGCTATTTTAATGTCATGAAGCAAGTTTGCCTAATTCCTTTTTTTTTTTACAGGCTTATCTATTTAGGTGTAGGAGCAAGTCTTCTCAGAGGTTCTGCAATTTGCCAACCATTTCATAAATATTTGCAGCAGTGGTCAGGAAATTTGTGTTAATAAAGCATTTTGAAGTCATTAACCTCAAATTATATTCCTACTATCAATATTTTCACTTCTATTTTTTGTCAGCTGGGGGAATTTCGGGGAGGACAGTTAATTTAGCCATATGAACTTAATTTCTAGGAATAGCTTATATTTTAGGAGTACATTCAAGTCTGTGATTGACAAATAACAGCTTCCTTGGCAAATTTCAGTTTCCCTTTTTGAGAACGAGCTATCTACAAACAGTTAAATCAGGGATAGCTAGGGGAATCTCTGGAACGTCTTTACAGGATGTGGATAGTTTCCTGACAGGTAAGGAAGGCATGGGATTCTCTTTGTTTATGTAAAGGAAGCGGACATAATCATATTGTGGCAGCAATAAAATATATGAAGGAAAACCAGCAATGTCTCACTGTAACCAAGTTAAAGACTAACCTAGAGGAACAACAACTGGTCAGAGTCATCGGAACTGAAGATACTGTCTATAGAAATGAGCTTACATGGGATGGGGGTGGAGGGTGGTCAGGGTCCTTGGGACACCTGTGGAGGGAAGCAGGCTCTCTGATGGTGGGTGTGGTGTTGGGATGATGTATGTTTAAGTTGTTCACATACTGTGAAGTGATTACCTCAATAGGTTCCATCTTCTCATAGAGACAATAAAAAGAAGATCAAAGAAGATAAGAAAATTATAATTTGTCTTACCGCTTATTAGGGCAAAACTATATCTTTGTGTTATCACCCAGGCATAGGTAGAGGCTAGGGCCAAGGGAAAGCACATGTTCAGTGGTAAAGTACATGCCTTATGTGTTTGTCTCAGCTAGCTTTGATCCCTAGCACCACAAAAGTGAAAACTCCAAATTGAACTTAATTCTGAATTTTGGAGTTTGAATATGGGGAATATAAATCAAGAATATCTGTTAGACAAGGTTTAATTTGAAGTTTAAAAGTATTTGTAGTTAGCTACGTGAGAAATTACATAGTGATTTTAGAAATTAATGCAGTGATTCTAAAAAAAACAGACTGGTAACTTTTTTTGGTTTGGGAACCACACTCGATGCTATTCAGGAGTTAACTCCTGCTTCTGCACGTTTAGGAATTACTCCTGATGGTGCTTGGGTTGAAACTGGGTCTGCCATGTGCCCTACCTGCTATATATCGCTCTGGTGCCTATTTGTAGCAACTTTTCTTCCCAAGCAAGAAATCTCTTTTAAAATGAAGGCCCGAAAGATAATATAGATGGTTAGGGCACTTGCCTTGCATGGGTCCAACCCCAGGTTAATCCTTGCCGCAGTTCGACTGCCCTACTCACAGCTGGGTGTGGTGCCTCCCTAAAAAAGGAGAGGGTGTCAAAAAAGCTCCAGGCATAAACAGTGGAACAAGAACTTTTAATCTGGGCATAAATGTCTTTTTTACAGAAAAAGGTTCAAAATTATGATTTTTCTCCTCTGGTATATTACTCAGTGAAAGGTCTTATTCCTAATATGCCTTTATATATGTATTATCTAGGTTTATATATGTAGTACATTTAAGGAGATAATACGTTTATCTTCTGAAAACTAAACTTTGGCACACAAATCATACCTCTTAATGTTCATATTTTGATTCTTTGTAATTGTACCATGATATGAATTATTATCTTAACCAAAAAAAACCCTTTTTTAGCCACAAGAGAAAATAAGAACAATATATTCAGTAATGTTTTCCATAAGCACATATTTCAGAACATTTTTAAAAAACCCAATGAAGACTTTGATGAGATAGTAATTTGTCTATATACAAGCAGTGAGAAATTAGAAAATTAAAAATTTGAAAGACCCTATTTATAATAGCACCAAAATTAGGGCTGGGAATAAATATAACAGCACTGCTGCTTTTTATTCAACAATAATGACTCATGACTACCACCCGGGCCAACAGACTGTGAGACATCCTTATCTCAGAGGTGGTCTCAAAAATGTTTTTAAGAGCCTTTGACGTCAAAAAAATAATAGTAATATTTTGTGAATACTTGTGCAACTTCAGTCTTTTATGAAGTGTTTAGAAATTTAGGTTGTAGCAGGTCCGGTGATTTTGTTCATTGTAATAAAAATGATCTTGATGTTCATTTTCCCTCAAAAGCTTTTGAAATTGAATAATGACTTCCTTTTAATTGAAGGTACACATACATAAGTTTTATCTAACCTCAAAGACTGTTAGTGGAGGCAAAGCCACGAGGATGGGGGTGGGAATGTATGGTGGAGGGTAGATTTGATGATGGGGTCTTACATGTACGAGGTGGGAGGTTATATCCTTTGCATGCGTAATGTGTGACGGGAAGGGGGGGATCAGTGCAACAGCCCCCAACAACAAAACTGAACAAGACATTTTCCTATTTGCCTGTTGAGAGGGCTTGGGGTTATTGCCAGATTTTTTGATCCTTTTATAAACAAAATTGCCATTTTAAAGGATCTCACAGGACTTAACTTGCTGGAAAACGTAATGTTAACTGTTTTCATGATTTTGTAATTTTCAAATTACTATTTATTAAGCTTTTTAAATATCCAGGACAGTTTTCTATGTCCTGATAAATTCCATAGTAGAGCAAATATGTGAGGGTGTGGACCCAGGGATGGCATATCCTTACCTGAGTGTGTGTTTTGTTTTTCTGTGGGGGCAAATGCTTTGTATTCAAGAGCCCCAGTTTCATCTCCAGCACCACATACTCCCTTGAAGACCTCTGATCTGGCCCAAAGTTGCCCCTTCCCCCCAAAAAAATAAAGGAGAGAGCAAAAACAGGAGATTAATGAACAGAAGCTCAGAAACTATGAGTCAAAAATAAACCTTAATACAAACATGAAAACTGGTGATATGTATTCTTGAAGGAAAACAGTTCCTTTAGCATTTTAAATTCATTTCAGTTTGAAGAAATTTCTAGAAATTAATAGATTTCATCTACATTATTATATTTTTCAATAATTCGCCAAATAAACCCTGTGATGTCAGGTGCAGATAACATTTTGAGCCTAACTGTGTTACTCCACAGTTTATATAAGTGAATTGTTCTGTAATAAAACTTCAGGATTCTCAGTACTATGGGTATTTGGCATTCATAAACAGGTTTTCTTTTTGCTTTTTGTACCACACCTGGCAGTGCTCAGGGCTTCCTTGTGGTTCTGCTCTCAGAGATCACTCCTGGTGGGCTCAGGGCACAATAAGGAGTGTTGGGAATTGAACCTGGGTCAGTCACGTGCAAGGCAAATGTCCTATCCACTGTATTATCTCTCTGTCCCCCGTGGAACTTATAAAAAATATATTGAATGCTAGTCACACCACCAGGTGTGGCCCCAAAACAAAAATACTGAGTCCTGGGGAAATTAATTTTGAGATATATTTCAGGTATAACATTGAATTTTGGGATATACACGAAGCTTGTCATTTTGACATTGGTTGAGATGTCTAGTCTCATAACCACAGGAAGTAGTTCCACTAACAGTAGTTCCCTTACCTGTCTGGTCCAGGTTCCTCGTGGAGCAGAGCTGGTACAGTCAGTGGGAAGAATACGTGCAGGGACAAGACCGGGATTTCAGCTACTTCCCTGGTCCCATCGATAATGCTCGACTTTTCGAAGGTACCAGGCCTCTACTTCTCAATGTCAGACTAGCCCCGGAGCTTTTGTCCCTTTTGTCCCCACAAATGAGCATAAGCCCTTTACAGTGCTAGATCATTGGTGAGATGGCCAGAGTGACTCATTACTCTTCCTGATTCTTCTAATGTCTCCTGCAGACCGGGTAAACTGGTGCCTCAGAAAGGGACTGGTGGAAGGTAGAGATTATATACTGCTCCCAGCAGATGCTTGGTTTTGCCTTCTCAAGTGGTATGGTATAGAGCGTGGCCAGCCGCCCATTGAACGCAAGGTATAGTGGGATGAGTGGTTGCTGGGGGAACAGATTCTGTTTGGAGTTAGGGGGAGGGTAGAAGGAAGGTTTTACAGACCCAGGGTGAATCTGAACCCTTGTATTCTGTGTGATTCTGCCTATGTGATTCTGCCTATGCTGTGTCTGCACTCCCCCTTTCTTGGACCATAGCCACCTTGTTATGTCCCCTTTGTGTACTCACCTGTATGTGTTCCCTGTATGTACCCTTAAATATTTACACATCACATATAGGCCTGTGTGTCAGCTCCTCTGGTCTCAGAGGTCATTGTGACATCTCTGTATCCTGTATAGGAAACACACTTGTGAATACGTCCTCCACCTTTGCAGGTTGTGGCACTGCCTGGCAGCCTGACAATTGAAGTATACCCAGTAGAACTGCTGCTTATGCGGCACAGTGACATAAACACAACTTACACTGCTCAATTCAGTCTTGCCGATTCTATTGGTAAGTATAATGTTTATGGAATGAATCGGAGTTCCAGCAGGAGGTCAACTCAGATATAGAAGTGCATGGGGGTAGGCTTTGGTCATCTGAGAAAATGGTGGTCAGATATTGGAGGACTGGAAGCACTGTCAGGTTGAAAGAGTACATGAGGAGGCACCCTAGGGTCCTGAGAGTACTTCATGGCTTAGATGGTATGGCAGACGATATCTTCTGATGAGTCTCAAGTCCTTTGTTTTTGACAGTTTGGATATTGAGGGATATGTGGTATATGAGGATGAGCCAGGTCTGATGCTAACATGGATCAGTCATTTGGGGTCCCAGGATGACCCATGATTCTCCACAGAACTTGTGTTGAGCCGAGCTCGAGAGCACTTTGAAGTGAGTACTCAGGACGAGATCCGGCTGTGGGTCAAGAACTCGGAGGGCACTTTTGAGAGGTTGCGCAACACACGTGTCACAGTGTTTGAGGCAGCACTCAAGACGGGGCAGGTAAGGGTGGAGGTGATTGATCTGCTCGCTGACTGTGCCCAGGTTGGGGGAAGGGAGGGCTCAGTGCCTAGAGGTTCCTCCTTGACTGACTCCCACCTCTTCTTCCAAACCAGCTGATCATCATGGAAACCCGGAACAAGGATGGAACTTGGCCCACTGTCCGTGCACGCACCATGTAAGCCCTTGTGGTGTCTGGGCCACAGTGTACTCTCATAATAGATAGATTTCCCCATCTTGTATGGGTCCTCAGCTGATAGTTCTCATCTTCTCCCCAGGAGCAGTGTGCCTGGAGCTCATGAGGACTTCACAGGCCAGCCAGGCATCTGTGGACTTACCAATCTGGGCAACACTTGCTTTATGAACTCTGCCTTGCAGGTTGGGTCATTATGGTTATATCTGGCCAAGGGGTGGGCGTCAAGCATGGTGGTCTGGGGCCAGAGCTGGAGGGGAGGAGAGGAGGGAAATGGATCGAGTTGGAAACTTGTCAGATGTGACATGTCACAGTCCATGGAACATTGATGTCCTCTCCCTCCACCGCCTCATTTCCTTTTCCTTTTAACTCCTAAATTCTACTTTCTCCATCCCCTGTCCCTTTTTACTTTCTTCCTCCTTCTCCTTCCTTCTTGCTTCCTTTTCTCTGTCCATGTTTCCTCTTGTCTTTCTCCTTTCTTCACTCCTGCCTCCTTCAGTGCCTCAGCAATGTACCACAGCTTACCGAATACTTCCTCGACAACCGTTATCTGAATGAACTCAACTTCTGCAACCCACTGGGCATGAAAGGGGAGATTGCAGAAGCTTATGCGGACCTGGTGAAGCAGGCCTGGTCTGGCCACCACCGCTCCATTATCCCCCAAGTGTTCAAGGTGTGTCCCAGCCCTGGGCCGCCCTCTAACCCCTACTTACCTTGCCTCTCCTGGCTCTGCTCTGATGGACCTGTCTGTATTCTCAGAACAAGGTTGGCCATTTCGCATCCCAGTTTTTGGGCTACCAGCAGCATGACTCACAGGAACTGCTGTCATTCCTCCTGGATGGGCTGCATGAGGACCTCAATCGTGTTAAGAAGAAGGAATATGTGGAGCTGTGTGATGCTGATGGGCGACCAGATCCGGTAAGTACTCTCGTCAGACCTCTTATATGGAGAGCCCCATGGAAGTGCTTGAATGTCCCTGGGGTACCCCACCCTCTACTCAACATTACTGCCTACTGGAACTCCAGCACTATCTCACACACACATACACACACACACACACCAAACATTACTGCCTACTAGGACTCCAGCATTATCATCACACACACACACACACACACACACACACACACACATACACAAGCTGCCAGTGAATGCAGACTTTAGCTAACCCTGACTATAAACTATGTACTGTTTGTGACCAGTCCATATCTATTCCAAACAATGGTTTCTCCTGTCCCCACCCCCACTGTACAGGAGGTCGCAGAAGAGGCTTGGCATAACCATAAACGTCGCAACGATTCTGTGATTGTGGACACTTTCCATGGCCTCTTCAAGTCGACACTGATTTGCCCTGATTGTGGCAATGTATCGGTGACCTTTGATCCTTTCTGCTACCTAAGTATTCCACTGCCTGTCAGTCCCAAGAGGGTCATGGAGGTCTTCTTTGTCTCCATGGATCCCCGCCGCAAGCCAGAGCAGGTATGGGGGCAATAGGGTCATAGGAATACAAATGAGGGGTATGTGGTCATAGAGTTTGATTATCTGGCTACACTTCAACATGTCTTGTGCTGATTTCCCCACGTATTTCTACTTTTTAATGGAGCCTGCTTCTCCCTCAGCATAGGATCGTGGTCCCCAAGAGAGGCAAGATCTCGGATCTGTGTTTGGCTCTTGCCAAACACACTGGTATTTCTCCAGAAAGGGTAAGGTTCTGGCAGATAGAGGGAAGGAAGGAGGAGGGTGGGAGTTGCGAGAGAGGCAGAAGGGCCTGGGGAAGTCTTTGCAGACTGACTACTCTCTCCACTCCCATCCCCAGATGATTGTGACTGATGTCTTCAGTCACCGCTTCTATAAGATCTATCACCTGGAGGAGTCTCTGACCGGCATCTTGGATCGTGATGATATCTTCATGTGAGTGAGGGGACCTGGGGTAATAGGGTAACCACCTCCTCTTAACCACCTTCCCCCACACCCTGCCTGCTTCACATGGCATCTGCACTGTGCGAGGCTTTGACCATGACTTTACGAGGGAAGGGGTTTAGGACTGTAGATGGGGGTCGGGCAGTAGTCATTTGACAGGGTGTCAGTCCTTGGTTGCCTTTTTCCTTGTTGGGCAAGGCAGACTCCTTTTTCTTCTGTATCTTATTCAGTATGCATTTAGCACCATCTGCATACCAGATAAGGATCTATTCTCCCTTACTCATGCTGTGGTCCAAAAACCTCAAACATGGGTTTTGAAACAGGGAACACAAAAAATGCTTTCTTTGAGTATGAGAACATTCACAATCCATTTCAAGTTTTTGAGTGAAACAGAAAATGCTTCATGAGTGGAAAAGCACCTTGTAAAACTGAGCAGTTTTCTGAAGATAAAGTGGTTAAAGGCTTGTGGGGGAGGGGGTGGCTTGCATGTGTGAAGCCCTGGATTTCATCCCTAGCATTGCCATCTCCGACGAAATAAAGGAAGTCAAGAAAATGGTTAAATCCTATTGTCACTGGAAATGTTTGTTAATTATGTCAGCGTTCTGATAACCTAAAAGTACTTTATAAGACATCACATGAACGGGGGCTGGAGAGATAGCAGACCGGGTAGGGTGTTTGCCTTGCATGCGGCTGACCTGGGTTCGATTCCCAGCATTCCGTATGGTCCCCTGAGCACCACTTGGAGTAATTCCTGAGTGCAGAGCCAGGAGTAACCCCTGTGCATTGCCAGTGTGACTCAAAAAGAAAAAAAAGTCACATGAACAAGAATCCCATTGTGATCACTTTAACAGTTCTGAAAGTATAGCCATTAAAGACTAACAGGTGATGCTTTAGTTCCTTGAAATGCTGGAGCGATAGTACAACAAGTAAGGTACTTGCCTTGCACTTGGACAACCCTGGTTCAATCCCCAGCACCCCTGATCCTCTGAGCCCCATCAGGTTTGATCCCTGAGTGCAGAACCAGGCGTGGCCCAAAAAAAAAATATTTTCAGACTGTGAAGGGTGGGCAACTGAGATAGAATCCACAAGTCCCTCTTGGAGTGACCTTCTGTGTCCCCTGCCAGATATGAGGTGTCAGGCCGCTCCTCCGCCACTGACAGCTCTAGAGATGACATTGTGCTTCCCATCTATCTGCGGGAGCGCACCCCATCCCGGGACTACCACGGCTCCTACTATGGCCTGATGCTTTTTGGACACCCACTTCTGGTGTCAGTGCCCCGAGATCGGCTTTCCTGGGAATCCCTGTATCACATCATGCTGTACCGCCTTTCGTGAGTCTACCCTTCAGGGAACATGGGAGTGGGCACGAGATACCTTTAATCTGGCTGTCTGGTTGCCGAAACACTACCGTCCTACATCCGAGAGGCACTTAGAGCTTCTCATGACCTGAGAGGAAAAGGTAGGCTTCCTTTCCCCAAATCTCTTGACTTTGCTGCTGTCTCTCATGGGTGATGGTGAGGCAGAGGTGAACCAGACAGATAAGGTCTAGAAGCCTCCTTGGAGAGGCTTGGTTTATCTGTGTTTCTACTGGTGCAGTTTTCATTGTGCCCAAGTCCTTGTTGAAGCAGAGAACAGTGCATTCCCTGTTCTTCATGCTGTACTCCTGGAGCCAGAGAACTAGCTCAAGTGGTTGATTACCACCAGACATGTTAGGCCCTGTGTTCAGTCCCAAGTAGTACTGGACCGAACACCGAACTGTCAGGCCCAGGTGATCAGGAGCAGATGATTTTGTCATCTCTTGAGTCCTTCTGGCCTTCTAAGCAACTGTTTGGATGGGGTTTGCCTGTGGTCTCTTAGCCTAAGCACGATAGACCCTGGGCTCTGCTTCTCTGCCTGTGGGCCTTCCTGGAGAGTCTCCTCTCTGTTTGCAGGCGCTACGTAACCAGACCTGGCTCTGATGATGAGGATGATGGAGATGAGAGAGGTGAGGAGGAAGAAGGCAGGCTTGACAAGAATGTGGCTCTGTTCAAGTGGTTTCCATGGACTGAGTAAGGGTTCATGGATGGGGCATCTGGGGTATGTCTGACCTCCATACACAGGGTCCAGCAGGTGGGGAACGGTAGCAGAGTTCCCTGGGGTTTGTTGACAAAAACGTCAGTTCCCAAATCCGTCTCTGACATTCTCCTTTGTCCTAGCAGACATGGAGGATAAGAGCAGCATGCCCAAGTCTAGTCACATGGCTGGGGCCAGCTGCCAGGAGTTTGGCCTGGAGCAAGCTGGGCCCAGTACTGGAATTGCAGGTGCTAGCCGGGCCCCCATGGACAGCTCCCCTGGACCATCTCATTGGTCCCAGCGGGCAAGGCGCAAGCATCTGTTCACTCTGCAAACCGTTAATTCAAATGGGACCAGCGACCGTTCTCTGTACAACGAAGATACTCGTGGTGTCTCCTTCAGCTGTGAGCCAGGGTTGAGGAGGCGGGAGGTGGGGGTTTACTTTGCAGCAGTACCTCTAACCATCTCCCCTTGCCCCCAGCCCAGCCATACATTGCTCTTGACTGGGACCCGGAGATCAAGAAACGTTACTATGATGAGGTGGAGGCAGAGGTAAACATGACCTGGGGATGAAGAAATCCTTTCATCTTGGGAACCCCTCCCATTCTTCACACTCCGTCCTCCAGTTTATCCAAGTGGTGGCCGCAGAGTTCCCAGGGTCCCTTATCCCCCACATCAGAGTCCATGTTATTAAATTCTTGGGGTGTATCTTCCACCTCTGCTTGCTCTCACTCATAGTCATCCTCCTCCTGGTTGTTGCTCCTCAACCCTAGGGCTATGTGAAACATGACTGTGTGGGCTACGTGCTGAAGAAGGCTCCAGTGCGGCTGCAGGAGTGCATTGAGCTGTTCACCACTACTGAGATTCTGGAGAAGGAAAATCCGTGGTAAGGGTTCAGTGTTTGGCTGGGGTTGGGGGGACTTTTGTTGGGTGGGATGCCCTGCCCTGGTCCTTGTTAGCTCTATACCCTCCTTCCTTTCTCCTTCACTTCAACATCCTACCAGCTCCATGAAAATGGTTACCATTTTTCTACCCCAGAGCCTTTGTCTATGCTCTTCCTTCTCATAGGAATGTTCTTCCTCCAGTTTTCGACACGACTTGGCTTCTCCTATTCTTTGCTAAGGTCTCCAACCAGATGTCATTTCAGAGAGACCTGCTTTTTCCGTCCTGTCCCAAGCCAGTCTTCCCCAATCCTTCATCTTCCCCCTCTCTCTGTTCGGGCCCTTTACTTGCTTTCCAGTGTGTTAACACCACTGAACAGGGTGATGTCGAACCCTAGAAGGGAAAGGTTCTGTGTTGGCTATTTGTCTCTTCTCACTGATTCTAATGGTGATGGTTGTGCAGTAGATGATCAGTAGGACCTGGGAGAATACATGAAAGGAGGGAGTGGGGGAGAAAGAGAGTGAGAGAGTCCAGGCTTAGAAAATAAGAGCAGCCTCTCCATGCTGCTGAGAGAGAACCAAAGTACAAAGTGGTGCTGAAGGCTTTCACAGTTAACAGACACCTGGCAAGTGAACCAATGAATAAAGTTGGAAGGGAGAGAGGCATAAGAGGGCACTGTTGTCATATTAGCATCTCCCAGGTCCGAAACTAAACATACACACAAACACAGAAACCGGGCTTTGGATGAGTGGTGGCTGGGCTTTTCACACTGAGGAGTACCAACTCGAGTGCCAGGTAAACTTGGGAGCGACCATAGCACATGAAGGAGGAAGGCCACTAAGAGCACACAGTGGTTTCTCAGAAAAGACTTGTGCACCAACTTCTGCAGGTACTGCCCCTCGTGCAAAAAACACCAGCTGGCCACCAAGAAGCTGGACCTGTGGATGCTGCCTGAGACACTCATTATCCACCTGAAGCGCTTTTCCTACACCAAGTTCTCTCGGGAGAAATTGGACACCCTTGTGGAATTTCCTCTTCGGTCTGGGCTGGGCATAGTGGTGGTGACAGGGTTTGGTGGGGGGTTGGGGTGGGGGGAGAGAAGGGGGCACACTGGCTCTGACTGTTCCCATTCACAGGGACCTGGATTTCTCCAGGTTCGTCATCAAGCCGAAAAATGGGGAATCCCCGGAACTCTACAAATACGATCTCATTGCTGTTTCCAACCATTATGGTGGCCTGCGTGATGGACACTGTATGTGTCAGGCTATGGTGGGGGCATTCTGGGAGTGGGTCAGGATAGCCTTAATGGGTAACTAGATAGAGCACCAGTGGTGAGATCCTTTGGGTGAGAGGAGGCAGAGGGAATCTGGATACTTCTTAGGGGGAAGGATGGTAGAGCCCCCCCCCAACCCGTTTTTTTTGTCTTTGGGCCACACCCATTGGTGCTCAGGGCTTACTCCTGGCTCAGTGCTCAGGAATCACTCCTGATAGGCTCAGGAGACCATATGGGATGCCTGGGAGTGAAAGGCAAGCTCCCTATCCACTGTACTATATCACCCTGGCCCCTCCTCTCCCTTTCATATAGACACGACTTTCGCCTGTAACAAGGACAGTGGCCAGTGGCACTACTTTGATGACAGCAGTGTCTCGCCTGTGAATGAGAATCAGATTGAGGTGTGTCTTTTGTTCTCTTTTGTGACCCCTTCTGCTTCTTATGCTTCCCCACTGATCCCTGTTCTCTCCCGTAGTCCAAGGCTGCCTACGTGCTCTTCTATCAACGCCAGGACGTGACTCGTCGCCTGCGAAGCCAGTCTGTGGCATCTTGCTCTCCTGTGGTATCCCCTACTTGTGGTTCCCCACCCAGCACTGATTCCATGGACGTAAACTAAACGTTCCTGACCCGTCACAGGGAAGGAAGTTAACTCTACTCTCTTTCTTCGGTCATCTCCCCATCCTTCAGTTATCTCCCCAGTTCACCCAGTACACCCCAGTTCTCCCCAGTTCACTCCAGTTCTCATACCCGCGTTGAGCGCGCCATGCCAGGCATCGCAGTTGTGACTCTTGTTCTCTTGTGCGGCCATTTTTTGCTTTTTTTTACCCCGGGGTTGAAGTGGTTGCTTGTCCCCTGGGCAGTGTGTTCCCCAAGCCTGTGTTTGCCCTGTGGAGCATTAACCCTCCCATTAACCCTCCCACTTACTCTCTATTTATGGTTGTTCCCTTCCTCTGTCCTTAACCCTGGGATGTTCTGAGGAGGTGATGGTGGGTGCACCTGAACACAGAGTGTATTTTCTTACTGAGGACGCTGTACCTTCCCTTCCCTATATATAAAAGTGACGGTGTGTTGCAGCTGTTTGCTTCTGTGTGCTTCTTGAATGCATGGGCTGTGAACAGCACTGCTCTGAATGCTTGTTTAGCACCGGCTGTGTACTTGGTGCTACTCTTAAGTGCATTCAAAGCACCATCTGTGTGTTAGACACAGTTCCCAGCATCTCTAGTTTTCCAGAACCTTTGCTGCATACTGACTTCATAATCCTCACAACCATCTTATGCAGGAGTTGTCATTTCAGTTTCTAATAGGGAAACTGGGGTACAGGGGTCAAGTACTTGTTCAGGTTCTGCTGAAATGTCAGTACACATTCTTAGTTACCCTGGAACTGGTTCCCGGATGAGGGGTTTGACCTACCGGACCCCAAACTGAAATCTTTGTATCATGTGACGACAGCTGACGTAGAAAGGGGTGTAACTGTAGCAGACAAGTATCCATGTGGGCATATGTGTGGTTTCTGGGCATAAAGATAGTAAGCAGACCACCATATGGCGTTCCCTGAGAAGAACACTATAGAGGTGGTATATCTAGCCCAAAGCAGCTAATTTAATAGGACAGTTGTGCTGTGTCTGTCCTATAAGTAGCTCCTCCCTCTTTCCATTATGGGCCCAGCTCTCCCATCAAATAAGGTCCCTCCAACCTTAATCCAGAAAGAGTTACTGAGTTGTGAGTGTGGTGTGTTTGTGAGCAGAAACCATTTAAGCACTGAGCCACTCCCACCTGACCTGCTTTACAAGTGCCAATCCCACTTCTGAGAAATGACTTGTGGGAACAGTTGGTGGAATGGATTGGATAAACGTAAACTTTCTATATATAAGAGGCCTCTCAACCCTTAACATTAAGAGGAACATTTTGATCAGTAGTAGTTACGTGACAGATGCCAGAGTAGGGGGCTTCAACGTTCCCACCAAACAGCTACCTTTCTGCGGGACCTGGCAAGACCCACTTTGAGGGCCTCTTGCTTCCAACATTACTACACACAAACTCCCTAGTAGCACCACTGACCTGGAAAAGAATCAGGAAAGTTTCTATAAGAAACTCCAATTTAAACAGCCTCAAGAAAGAAAGTAATAGAGCTAGGGATGTGGATCAGTGGTAGACTATATACCTGGCATGTGTAAGACCCTGGGCCAGATGTCCGGTACCACAAACACATATACACAAAAATCCAACACCAGTGCCTAGATCCAGAAACTAAAAAATCCCATCAATCCTTTATATACAGTGATTTAAGTACTCTGACCGGTTTTGCAGATTAAAAAAATAGGCATATACCTTTAATATCTGTATTGTAAACCATAATGCACAAAAGTGGAGGGAGGGAGAGACAGAGATAGAGAGAAGAAGAAGAAAAGTGCCTGCCATAGAGGTGAGGGCTGGGTGGCAGGAGGGAGACTGGGGACATTGGTGGTAGGAAATGTACACTGGTGAAGGGACGGGTGTTGGAACATGATACGACTGAAATCCAATCATGAACTTTGTAACTGTGTACCTCACTGTGATTCAATTAAAAAGACTATTATTTTTTTTAAAAAAATAGGCATAAATAACTAGAGCAATATATCTGTTGGTTTGGGGGCCATACTGGGAATGCTCAGGCTTACTCCTGACTCTGCTTAGGAGTCACTCCTGGCTGTGCGTTGGGGACCAAATGCAGTGCCAGGAATGAAACTCAGTTTTCATGTATAAGACAAGTACCTTAACCCCTGTAATTGTCTCCTCAGGCCCAGAATGGGTGTTAATTGCATGAGGAAGCCCTTATTACCTATGTCTAATCAGTCCTGGACAGTCCTAAAATGAATCAGTTTAAAACAAACTTCCCCCAAAGCCCTGAGATATGGTTGATAGAACTGCTCTGAGGGTAGAGGAATGGATGGGGTGGATAGGACCATTAGGAGAAATCCTGGCACTCGTGGTAGACATGGTCTAGCACCCCCACAAGTATTCATAATAAAATGACAAGCTGGGGAGATAGTACAATGGGTAGGGTTCTTGCCTTGCATGCAGCCAATTCTGCTTTGATTCCCCATAAACCCATATGGTCCTCCAAGCAGTACCAGGAGTAAATTCCTGAGTTCCTCAGTGAAGAGCCAACAGTAACCCCTGAGCATTGCCAGGTGTGACCCCAAAACCAAACCAAACCAAACCCAGACAGTGGTAGAGGGTCTTGAGCACTTCATTGTTGGGAAATGTGCAGTAACTTGGTGCATCAAAACCATAAATGTTAACACTATTGTAACCATGATATTAGCTCCAACAAAATTTAAAATAGGGGGCCAGAGATAGCCAATCCTGGTTTGATCCCCGGCACAGCTATAGTCCCCTGAGTGTAGCCAATTGTGGTTCCCCTCCAAAATAATAAAACAACTTCTTTGATTTGATGGAAGGTATCTTGAAATGACAACATGGGTAAGAATTAGAAAAAATAAATGACAACAAAGACTCAGTTCTCAGACATCAACTTATTTTGGTCATAGAAATAAAACTATAAGTGAACAACCAAAAAAGTAAGACTTTGAAAAATGAAAAGGGTTGAAAAAGATGATGGGAGATGATTCAGAATACTGGAATGCACTTCATTCCAGGCACTGTCTGGTCTCCTAGTACTCCTGGGAGTACCCCTGCCCGACTAAGAAAAGGATAAAGGAAAAGAACCAAGACAAGAGACCCAAAATAGATGTTAGCCAACTATTTGGGGGGGATGCTATATCTGGTGGTGCTCAGGGGTTAGTCCTGGCTCTAAACTCAGGAATAACTTCTGGCTGTGCTCAGGGGATCATATAGGATGTCAGGGATCAAAGCTGGATCAGCTGCGTGCAAGGGGAGCAGCCTATCCACTGTGCTGTTGCTCCAGCTCCAGATTATAAGAAAATTTGAGAAGTCAGTATATGCTCAAGCACCACTGTGTATGACCCTGATGGCCTCCAGGTCTCATCCTGAGCAGCATTGCCCTATTAGTCCTATTACTGAAATATCAGGCCCATATATCCAGGCCTGAGTACCTCAGGAAGAACGCTTAACACTTCTGAGCACTGCTTGAGAGGCACCCCCTTCAAAAAGAAGTCAATGGGGTCAGGGAGATCACTCAAACAGCTTGATTCTGTGCCTAGCATGCAGATGGCCCAGGTTTCATCCTCAGCAATGCGTGTTCCCCCACGCAATATCCTGAGCATTGCAGTTGTGACCCAGTAGTCCCCCACCACACCAAATAATAAAAATGTTGAGAAAGGGGCTGGAGTCATAGTACATCTATCTACTACCAGCTATACTATCACTCCTTCCCTGATAGATTTTTTCTTTTTTTTTTTTTGGCCACCATCACCAATTCAGGGCCTACTCCTGTGCTTGGGTGTTGCTTCTGGCAATGCTTCGGGGACCCTGTAGTGTTGGGGATTCAACCTGGGGCTCCTATATGCAAAGCCTACACTCTAGCCCTTTGCACCATATTTCCAACCCTTGAACACTTGTTGATGGTTGCTGACCAATCAAGGTGAGGGGTTCTGGAGCCAGAGCAATAGTACAGCGGGTAGGGTGTTAACCTTGCATGTGGCCGATCCCTGTTTGATCTTTGGCACATCATATGGTCCCCAGAGATCACCAGAAGTTATCCCTTAGCACAGAGCCAGGAGTAAGCCCTGAGCACTGCTGGGTGTGTCAAGACAAGTAAGTGCTCTACTGCTGAACCACTTCTGTGGTTTCAATGGAAATTTGGTTTTGTTTTTGGACCATACCAGGTGTTGATCAGGATTGATTCCTACAATGCTTAGGAAATCAAATGCTGTTCTGGGGATGAAATGGGGTCAGCAGGGTGCATGGTTGATCTCTTAACCTCTTACTTCTCTTGAGCACCCCCCCAAACATTAATTGCATCTACAATGGTAAATTATTTACAGAAGTTTTCCCTTATTTTACAGACCCATCAGAGAAATAATTTCCTGAAATGCCTTAAAAGAGGGCTTAAAATGCTCAGTAAACCATACTCTAAGAAAGGGTTCTGACATCCTGATTTTGTTGTTTCATTTATAAACACAGGCAGAGTAAATTTAGCATAATTCTAAGGGCCTAGTATTTTCAGAACATTAAATGTACATGGGCTTCAATTTAAAGTTACCAGCTATGTTAGGTTGATCAAGAATCACCCTGTCCTTTGAAGTTTTAAAACCAGGAACTGACGTTTTCTCTCTAGCCCTGAAAGTTCTAGATTGTATCTTCTTCCAATAGATGGCTGTTTCTTCTGTATTGAGAATCTTGTTTGGTCTTACTACCTTCACTAGTTATCATATATGTAACTGCCTGAATATTTTGCCTCAGCACTTTCTGCCTCACTTTGCACTCTCATATTATGGAGATGGCATCATTTTTTCATAATTTGGTTGAGGAGTGCTCAGGTCTTCCTCCTGGCTGCACTTAACGATCACTCCTTGAAGGTTCAGGGGACCATATGGGGTACAGGAGATTGAACCTGGGTCAGATGTGCACAAGGTAAGCGCCTTTCCTGTTGTCCTTTTGCTCCAGCTCTGGATATGACTTCTTTCCTTCAACCACTTGAATCAACTGACTTCAAACTTTCTTTTGTAGCTTCACAACCTCTCTCAGCTTCATAGAACTGAAGACAGTTAGGGTCTTGCTTTGGTTTAGACTTAAGCTTAAGGAAAAGTTGTGGTTTGTTGGATCTTCTAGCCAGACCACTAGAACTTTCTCCCTGTCTGTGGTATGTTTCACTTACTTATTATTTGTGCTCACCTGAGTAACTCTTTTAATTTCCTGAAATATCTTTTCCTTTGTATACACAAGTTGGATATCTTTGACACAGAGGCCTAATTTTTTTGTCTTGTTTGGGGCCACACCTGCTGGTGCTCAGGGCTTACTCCTGGCTCTACTTTCGGGGATCACACCTGTTAGTCTTGGGGGACCAAATGGGATGCTGGAGATTGAACCCAAGTGACTGCAGGTAAGGCAAATGCCATACTCGCTGTACTATTGCTCTAAGCCCAACCTTTTTCAGTTTTTAACAGGTCTT